TGAGTGCGCGCACGTTCCGGACTCTTGCGAATTCTCTCATCATAAGCAACAAAGCGCAGTTGTACGTACAATGGGCCTCATTCATGAAACACGAGCAGAACGATTTTTGTGTAAACCGTTCGTAAAGCTGTTCTGATGTAAATTTTCAAATTCATGAAAATGTTCGTATTTTCAAAATGTTAGTTGGTACGAAAGAAATGTACACCTGCTCCTTACCAGGTGTAAATGGTGCGTAAAACGTTCTGTGTTCTTTTTGGCAAACTGATGACACTGAATTTTGATGCACTGCCATAATAATTACACGTTCAGGTGCTCTTGCCCTCTTTTTGAAAAAAAACAATATATATTTTTTTTTGAGTTGATAACTGTAAAACGCAGCGCTCGTCACTGTCACTATTTACCCAGCCGTAAATAGAGGACGGGTGGGACAAATAGCGACCAACCATCCTGCTTGTACAACGACTGCCTACAACAATGAAGAATTCAATATTACTGGTTACTGCTTTTTTATATTTAGTAAAATTCTTAAAAATGATATACTAGTAATATGTTGTCGCCGCCTGGATATTCCAAATCATAGCAACTAAAGCGTCTCAGCTGGAAAAACGCTGTGCCACCAAAGTATTCTCAAGCGCCGCCAGCTGGTCGTTTTAAGAAGAGCACCTGACATTTTTTCAGCTGGCTAAAAACTCTTTGGTGGACACACTTTATTGAATATTTATTGTTAAGCATATGGCCTATTAGTCTTTTTTGCATTTATGCAATATACTGGAGCCAAACCTGAGAAAGTAGACCAGAATATTCCACTGCGTTCCTAGACACGCAATTTACGTAGCTGTAATTCATAGGCGGGGATTATGCTAATTGTGAATGAGCGTGCACGTGTGCCCCATTTACGAAAGATTGGAATTCATTAACATACCCATGTTTAACTAACAAGTTTTCGGGAAGGTCCGTTTTACGTGCAAATTACTCAGAATTTACTCATATATTTACGAATGTTTCATGAATGAGGCCCATTGTAAGTAAGAGATTAATTTCACAGTGTATACAGCTTCAGTGGTTTATGACGATAGTTTTGTTTTTTTGAGAGTGCTTAAACTCGCGATAGATTAAAGTTAGTGATAATGTCACTTTCTATATATAATTTATTCTCTGTTTGAATAACCGTGGAAAGGAAACGTTATATAATTATAAATTTCTAATGTTTTTATTACATTGTAATCACGTTAACTACAAATTCAGTCCCATTAAACATTTTTTTAGCCTACATGTCACCCATGTCTGGTTCTTGCCTAAAAAGACGGGTTTATGATGTTTAATATATTTGGCTGCTTTTAGCCTTACCCTGGAGTTGGTTCACCCTCCGCCTATGCTTATTGCGATTTATTGGATGGGAAGTACACTTCAATGTTCCGTCCATTAACTGAAAACAGGCTAGACTTCTTGGGATTTAGGAATCGATATCGTTCCGTAAAAATGAAAATCGATTAATATCGAGATATCTATATTTTTTACCCAGCCCTAGTGATAAAAATTGTTTGGCTTCTCACAGCGGCGAAGTGATCTAGAATATCTGTTTCTGAAAATCACTTTAACAGCAGGGAAAGATCTAGAATATCTCACAAAGAATTAAACCAGTGTAGAATCTCTTAGAAAGACATTTTGTGCTACAGAATATATGCTATATTGTATTACTATTTAATGGCTGTTGTATATGGATGTCCGTTTCTGCCATAAGGTAATAAAAAAGGTAATTGAGACTTAAATTGAGATTTAAATTGATCACAATTTCATGTTTATATATCGCAAATCTACATTTTTTTTCACAGAATTATTATTTCTTATGAAAGGAAACTTTCTAGATATTTTCTAGAATTCGTGTTACTATTTCTTATGAAATAGTAACACGAATTCTAGAAAATATCTAGATCCAGAATATAATGTTCACTGCTTGCTCATTGACTGTTATTTAAATTAAGGTTGTTTTCAGTGGCGGTTTTCTCTGCACAGCTTGTTTTTTAGATAAATGCCTCCCTTTGATTTAAGAAATTTCCATTTCAGTCAGACGTTAAATCTTGAGGTTCATCTGGTGGCTTTGTTTTGTGACATTTATACACACAGTGTGTGAAATTAAGCACTTAATGTAAACAAAAGCAGAAATGAACCTCTCTGTTCTTGTTCTTGGACAGCTCAGATTATTAACATTCAGAAATATGTGCAGATCAGACCTCAAATAACCTCATTAGTGTTTTATGAGATGAATGTTTTATTAGGTTTTTAGAGATGTAGATTGTCTGTAATGGTGTGACTCGAGTAGAATCACATCTGAAGACTCAAAAAATATCTTCAGACATAAACAGAGGAGAAAAGGAGGAGTTAGACATGGAGACGGGATTCCAGGAAGGCCGTCTGAGAGTTTTTAGTAACATGTTCTTTCTAAATCATTAGACACTTTATGAAGTCTAGTAATGGACTCTAAACCTGTGCAGTTGATTAAAGCATAAACACACTAAACACTGCAGCAATCATCAGGTGTGTTTACTGCACACATGTATGGATGCTTTGTCTTTTGGATGACTGGAAAACTCACTTCCTCAAGCAGCCTAGATTTTCCCAGAGGTCCTGGCGACGGGCATCTGTTTGGCACATGTTGTGTATGTGTGTGTGTGTGTGTGTGTGTGTGAGAGAGAGAGAAGTCATGTCTGTTTTTCTAATTTTAGAAAGAGACTGTTTAATTTCACCCTTTTTCCTTCTCTTTCTTTGTTTTTTCGAAGTTTGACTGGACTTAAAGTTCAGTCTTAAAATGTCACCCAAAAATGTCAGTCTAAAAGCTGCTTTTTTCCAGACAGGAACAAGGAGCTTTCAAACTTCAAAAATAACAAAAAAGCACCATAAAGGTCTTGTTTGCTGTCAGGTTTAGATTCAAATATGTTATCAGGTTAAAGGCGGTGACAGAAAGTTTGCATTTTTAAGCAAACAAAAGATTACATTTAGGTCTTAAATACACTACTGTTTGGGTCTCTAGGATTTTTTATGTTTTTAAAAGAAGTCGCTTATGCTCACCAAGGCTGTATTTATTTGTATATACAGTACAGTAACATTTTTTATTTTATTTTGTAAATACAGTAAAATCTGTAGTATTGTGAAATATCATTACAATTTAAAAGAACTATTTTCTATTTAAATTTATTTGAAAATGTAATTTATTTCTGTGATGCAAAGCTGAATTTTCAGCATCATTACTCCAGGCTTCAGTGTCACATGATCCTTCAGAAATGCTGATTTGCTGCTCATGAGACATTTATTATTATTATGAATGTTGTAACAATCTTTTGTAACATTATTAATGTCTTATAAAGCTCAATAAAGTTTTGGTCAATTTGTTGCATTCGTGTTGAATAAAAATATAAATTTCTTTCAGAAAAAAAAAAAACGTCCTGACTCCAAACTTTCTTCAGAAAAATATAGTGCACAAATCAAATGGACCACTTTTATGATACTTTGATGATGCTTTACTGGCGTTTTTGGAGCTCGATAGTCCTCATTCACTTTCATTGTGTGGAAAAGAGTCAACTCTGAGATTCCCAAAAACATCTCGTTTTATGTTCCTCACAAGAAAGAAAGTCATAGTTTGGACTGGCATGATGGTGAGTAAACAGTGACAGAATATTCATTTTTCAGTGAACTGCTCCTTTAAGAATGTTGCTCGTATATTTTCCTCTCTGTACTTGTGATTCTCTCTCTGTTTGTTCTCTCCACCTCTCTCTGCTAGATGAATTCGAGTAATAAAATGTCTCTTAGGGAACAGCTGTTCTCCTCATTACTCTCTCCATCTCTCTCGCTCTCTCTGCTCCCTCCCAGTAGACCCAAGACTCTTATCAACACCGTTAGACACGCACACACTGTTACAGAGTTTCCCAAAGATGTGCCAGAGATCCAACCGTTTTCCATTCTGCTCTTATCCATGTCAAACACTTTATCTTTGTTACCTGACAGCATCTGTCCGCTCATAGACGTGATGTAATGCTCTGTCACACACTGTCCTCAATATTTTGCGCCAAGTAACCCCCCCCAAAACACTTTGGATTTTCAAAAATAACACTCTCTCCCTCTTTAGCGTCCGTGTTTCCTGAGGACTTCTCCATCTTGGCGACGGTGAGGCCGAAGAAAGGCAGTCAGTCCTTCCTGCTGTCGGTGTATAACGAACAGGGCATCCAGCAGCTCGGTCTGGAAGTGGGACGCTCTCCTGTCTTCCTGTATGAGGATCACCTGGGCAAACCCGGCCCGGAGGACTACCCGCTCTTCAGAGGGGTCAACTTGGCAGACGGAAAGTAAGACACACGCACAAGCTGTGTATTAAATTTGAAATATATTGTGTGATTTTGTCACAGTATTTCACAGTCAGGAATGATTTTCTTGACACTGGAAACTTAAGGGCCGGTTACATAACGTCTGGTTAGGTTAGGATTTAGTGTGTTTGGTTTTCATTACTAGCTTTGATGTGCGACATATATAATCTGTCACACTGGTGTGAAGCCAACACCTTCACAGGTGAGCAGACACAGGTGTGACGCCCTGTGTAACTACATAAACACTGCAGAAACACATCAATAACACATATGCAGATGGGAAACTTCGGATAGATAGATAGATAGATAGATAGATAGATGGATGGATGGATGGATGGATGGATGGATAGATAGATAGATGGGGGATGGATGGATAGATAGATAGATAGATGGGGATGGAAGATGGATGGATAGATGGAATAGATAGATAGATAGATAGATAGATAGATAGATAGATAGATGGACAGATAGACAGATCTATAAATGGATGGACAGACGGAGAGACAGATGTATAGATGGATAAATGGATAGTCCCTCATTCATGTGTGTTTGTGTCAGGTGGCACCGTGTGGCGATCAGTGTTCACAAACAGAGCATCACTCTGGTTTTGGACTGTAAGAAAAAGGTGACACGGACGCTATCCAGAAGCCCTCACCCCATCATCGACACCAAAGGCATCGTGGTCTTCGGGACGCGTATCCTGGATGAGGAGGTGTTTGAGGTAAGAAGCAGCTCCAGAGTCTTTCCTACAGAATATTAGTCGAAAAGTTCTTCACATCTTCTCAGAGCATCTCCTTAGAGGCTTCTTTATTGCTCTTTCATGGCTCAGCAGTTTGATGTGAGCCGTTGTTGTCTAAGAGTAAGAATTGAGATACAGTAGAAGATAGATCACATTTGCACTGGGCTTCTTTGGTCTTGCTGTCAGGGTGTTGTGGGTCTTTAGCAGGGATTTGTGGACATGTGTCTGTGGTCTTCACTGAGTGATGAAATGTTTCAGCATCTCTCTGTGACTGTGTCCAGTGGAGATGTGAGAGAGGAACGTGTGCGTGTTTGTTTAGCAGCTAGTTGTGGTTATGTAGTGCTAATGTAAGATTGTAGTGTTACCCTGTGGCACAAGGGTTTATAGACTGTCACGTGTGCTTGTGTGTGTGTGTAATGGTCAGGTCAACCATAAATGTTTAAAATAAGTATACAGTACATGTGAAGTGTGGTTGTGCTCGTATTTGGTCAGACTGTATTGCTCAGAAAGATATATCATAGTGCTCATGTTATTTGTGCACTCAGTGTGTCCCCTAAAGAGACACAGTGATAGTAAAAAAGGAGATGGGATAAAACAAATATATATATATATTTCAGTTCTTTTGTGTTCGCTCGCAAAACATTTGCATTTTCCTGAGAAATTTCATGTTTGCTTGCAAGACTTTTGTGTTTGAATTAATATGAGGTGGTGGGAGGAAAAAGGATATTTGTCTCATCTGCAAATTTTTTTGAAAGAAATGCAACACTTTTGTGAGAGAATCCAAATATTTTGCGAGTAAAAGCAAGTTTCTTGAGTGAACGTAGTACTTTTGCCAGAAAATGCAAATTTTTGCAAGAGAATGCAAAGTTTTTTGGGGGGTATGTAATACTTTTGCGAGATAATGCAACATTTTTTGAGAGAAATGCAATACTTTTGCGAGAGATTGCAAATATTTTGTGAAAAAACGCAACGTTTCTTGAGAGAAATGCAATACTTTTGGGAGGGAATGCAAATATTTAGCAAGAAAACGCAATGTTTCTTGAGAGAAATACAATACATTTGCGAGAGAATGCAAATATTTTGTGAGAAAACGCAATGTTTCTTGAGAGAAAGGCAATACTTTTGCGAGGGAATGCAAATATATTGTGAGAAAATGCAACGTTTCTTGAGAGAAGTGCAATACTTTTGCGAGAGAATGCAAATATTTTGTGAGAAAACGCAACGTTTCTTGAGAGAAATGCAATACTTTTGCGAGAGAATGCTAATATTTTGTGAGAAAACACAACGTTTCTTGAGAGAAATGCAATACTTTTGCGAGAGAACGCAAATATATTGTGAGAAAACGCAACATTTCTTGAGAGAAATACAATACTTTTGCAAGAGAATGCAAATATTTTGTGAGAAAACATAACGTTTCTTGAGAGAAATACAATATTTTTGCGAGAGAATGCAAAATATTGAGAAAACGCAATGTTTCTTGAGAGAAATACAATATTCTTGCGAGAGAATGCAAATATTTTGTGAGAAAACTCAATGTTTCTTGAGAGAAATACAATATTTTTGCGAGAGAATGCAAATATTTTGAGAAAACGCAACTTTTCTTGAGAGAAATGCAATACTTTTGCGAGAGAACGCAAATATATTTTGAGAAAACGCAACGTTTCTTGAGAGAAATACAATACATTTGCGAGAGAATGAAAATATTTTGCGAGAAATGCAGTTTCTTGAGAGAAATGCAATACTTTTGTGAGAAAATGCAAACATTTTGTGCGAAAACGTAAAGTTCCTTGAGAGAAATGCAATACTTTTGCATGAAATTCATTTTTTGTGATGTTAAATTAGTCAAAAGGTAAGACGTTTTTGCACAATATTGGACAAAAATGCTAAATAAATAATGCAGTGCAGTATGCAGGAAGCAATTATTTTCAGAAACTGAAATTTGAAAATTGAATTTGTTGCCGTTTGTTTAATCTCAGTGTGTCTTGATAGAAAAAGCTGAAGGATTGTGGGATTGGAACGGTCGGGGAGTGGATGTGAATCATTCAGAAGGACTGTAGGTAATGTTAGTGTTCATCCCGAGGGTTTTGACCGCAGACGCATGGGGTTCATGGAATGCTGATGTGTCTTTAAGGTTTGGTCTACCTTTCTGTTTGAAGTTAAAGTGTTTGGAGAAAATGGAAAGAGCCGTGTGTTTTTTTCCACAGAGCGAGACACCGAGTCACCACAGAATCTTAACCAAACCCCTGTCGTATACACACAGCAAAATCATATTTCATTTCAGAGTCTGCACGTGTAATTTAATTCCCTTAAATGCTGACAAATTTCACTAAGATAAACAGAGAGAGAAATAAGAGGGAATCTCAAAATCAGAGAGGAAATGAACAAAAAGCGTACACTAGATGGTGTGTTATTTGCATTAAGTTGACCTGTTGGGTTTATTTGGATTTAAGTGCTTAAGTTTCCCTAGTTGTTTCTTTAAAATGATATAAAATGTTGCATGTTCCAAAACTTTGTGAGCGGCCTATTTAGACAACATTTTTTGCATCATAGTCACACTTTTTCTAATTATGCCTCTCATTTTGGCTGAAATCGACAGCATGTATACTTTTATAGATAAGACAATCCCAGAATGCATTGGGATGAGCTCAGTGATTTCATCCAACATGGCAGATGAGAGACATTTTGACTATAAATAATATACTTAATTTGTGGGGCTTTAATGGAAAATACGGATATACTGTTAATAGTTCTGTTTAGTTAAAATGCACTCAATATTTAATATGTGTTTTAATGCTTTTTTTATGCTACCATCATACTAACATTATAAATGATGCCCTTTAATTGTAGCAGAGAGTTTTGCATAGGAAAGCACTGTTTGCTTTATTATTTTTTTAAAATGTAAAAACTAAATTCTTGCTTTTGTTGCACAAATAATTACAAAGAAACAGCAAGTAACACATTAAATTAAATGTGACGTTTTGAGGTAGAAAGACTAAAATCGTAAAACATACTCTAATAATCTTTAAAAAATATTAATTTTTTGTATAGTGAGGTTCTGCACTGTAGAGTAGGGGTGGGAATCACCAGAGGCCTCACGATACGATATTATCACGATACGTGTGTCACAATACAATATTATTGCGATTTTAAATATATTGCGATATTCTGCGATATATATTGCAATTTATTACCTTTTTCCAACTTCAAATGACAACATCTGTTTTAACTAAAAAGAAACATTTCTCAGTTTGTTTATCTCACTTCAGTTTTATTGTTGCAGTGCAAAATGGGATTGTCAAGCAGACAAACTGACCAACACTTTCATGAAAACCTGTCATAAATGTTGTATGCACCTGGCAAACTCAACTATTTGTATTACAGTCTAATACTTGGCGTCTGTGTATCGATACAGTATTGCTGTGGAAAATATCGCGATCCTATGCTGTATCGATTTTTTCCCCCACCCCTACTGTAGAGCATTCCAAATGTAGACAGTAGACAGTAAAGCAGTAAAGTTCATCTTCAGTCTCCTGCAGCATCTCACTGTTATCAGTTTTAGGTTTGTATCAGATGGAAAATATCTCACACACGGAGGGAAAGGTGATGTTTTTGTGGAAAGTTCTGGTCAGAATGAGGAGTCTGAAGCTCATGTCTCATGACATCATTGAGGGGGTTTCCACAGCACATGTACAGGTCAGCAGAAGTGTGTGTGTGTGTGTGTGTGTGTCAAATCCTACAGACGTGTGGTTGAAATCAGCATGATTCACACTAGGGCTGCACGATAAATCGCATGCGATATTTAACGCGCATCTTGTCAGAAAGCCGGTTCTGAAATCAGCGGTAAATCTCCATCACGTGCGTGCTTTCACATTGAGCAGCATTAACCACACAGAGCCGTTGTTCACTGACTAGCTGTGCAAAAAATCGCTCGAATATGAACGTGGTTTTGCGCAGCTAGTCAGTGAACAACGGCTCTGTGTAGTTAATGCTGCTCAATGTGAAAGCACGCAGGTGATGGAGATTTACCGCTGATTACAGAACCGGCTTTTCTGACAAGATGCGCGTTAAATATCGCATGCGATTTATCGTGCAGCCCTAATTCACACGTCACTCATCGCACTCGTCTGCTCGATCTGTATCATCATTCTGTCTAACCTGACTGAAAGAGAAAATGAGAGAGGAAGAAAGATATTTAAAGAAAGAAATGCTTAATGTTTAGATTTTCTCTTTTAAAGAAGGACAACAGCAGCTTTAACATCAAGAGAGCTGACATAAAGACATGAAACTGCATTCACTATACATTTAACTTCTATAATGTGCTGCATTTCTGAGTGGAACAAAATATTGTGTAGACAATAAAGTGGGCGGGACTTGATAGTCAGGATTTAACTTGAAATGTGTTAGGCTGTGATAAGTTTCCTTATTATTTTTCCTATATGCACCACTGTAAAAAATATTTTTTTGCAAATTTTATTCTTTAAGGATGCATTAAATCGATCAAAAGTGAAAGTAAAGACATCATGTTGCAAAAGATTTCTATTTAAATAAATGCTGTTATTCTAAAATTTATTTTCATCAAAGAACCCTGAAAAAAATGGCATTTCCACAAAAATATTAAGCAGCACAACATTATTCAACATTGATAATAATAAGAAGTGTTTCTTGAACAGCAAATCAGCATATTAGAATGATTTCTGAAGGATCATGTGACACTGAAGACTGGAGTAATGATGCTGAAAATTCAGATTTGCATCATAGAAATAAATTACATTTTAAAATAGTTTGAAACAAAAAATTGTTTTTTTAAATTGTAATAATATTTCACAATATTACTGATTTTACTGTGTTTTGATCAAATAAATGCTGCCTTGATATACAGTAAGAGACTTCTTTCAAAAATCAACCACAAACATTTGCATCCCCAAATAGTCAAGTAAATTACATATTTATTTTTCTTTAAAATAACTGTATTTGTTTACATA